GACATAAGCACAATATAATCGTTTTTTCGGTCCTATTTGTCGACGGTTTTGCTTTATTTAATTTCAAGTTTCCTGTAATCATAATTTAGCCGAAACAGACTAGAAGTAAATGATTAGATTTTTTCATTTTTTTACAATAGCCTAGAAGCTTGGTCAAAAAGAGATCTGATCTGATTGAAAAATTTATCGGTGTGTAAAGTTAAGATTGGAATTATCGAGAAATATTCTATGTTAAACTGTTAGCAATATGGCAAAAATATATATATTTACGCCTAATTCATTTACTTGTTAAACGGCAAATATATGTTTTCTTTTGTAATTTGTTTGTAAAATCTAGTATTTTGAACAGATAGGTGTGTTGAAAATAAAATTAAAAACCCTTTGAAAATTGTAGGTGACCAAAATTGTATATAAAGCTTTTGTTTCGGATTGGAGCATTTGCTTACGTGGAGACTGGCTCCATTCAGGAATATGGTGGACCGGAACGGAAAATATGGTGGAGAACACATTGTTACGTGGTTTGAACTGTGAATGGGTTCAGTGATAAGCATGATTGAACTTTTGGCCATTTTCTTGTCCATTGTACATATGTAGATAATTTTATTGTTAATTTTTATACATCTTGTTGTTTCTTGGTACACAGGAGGTCGTCCAAAATATTATTTGTTTTAGTTTGTCAATACGAATTTAAAGATCCCATCACAACTTGTGGGCAGATGTGATAATCTCGTCGAAAAATTTTTACCTATCTGTTCTTAGAGAAAATTATCAAGTGTTTAACAAAAAATCATTTTAAAATGTTTTATTTTATGTTTCTAGCAATAGTCATTTATCCGGAAATTGTTTTTATATTGTATTCATGATCCAATTTGCAAACATTTTTTTTACTGATGTAAATATATTGTAACAATTAGTTTGTTTCCAAATGAAGGCAATAAAGCTTGAATAGATTCAAGAAAATATTATTTAGGTTTATTTACAAACTTGAACAAAATATTAGAAATTAAAAAAAGTTTCTTTCGATTTGTAAAAAATACATGCACATTGACTTTAATTATGATGGCGAATTGAAATAATTGTTTCTGAATTTAACAGTAAATATATTCACTTTAATGATGAAACACCTTAATCGAATAAGTAAAGGTTTTAGATTCGGAAAATAGCATTTCGCAAGTTTATCAAATGTGATTTACTACTTAGAAGCGAATACACTTTGGACATGCTGATGCCGACACGAACATATTTTCCTGCAATCGTACCGTCTAAAACATATTGCATCATTAGGTACACTTTTGATTTGTAATCCTTTAAAGGTATTAGTGCAGGGCTACCTGATAAATATTGAAAGTAATCAGATTCAGAGCTTAGAAACAACACTTTCCCAGGAAATACACAATCATGGTCATATCGGTATGGGTCCAATTCCGGTTTTTCTAGCAATGAATGGAATGTATTCTTTTTATAAGTCAAAGGGCACGATGACACACAAACACCACTTGAATCACCAACAAAGAAAACAGATTTTGGAGCAATCTCTGAAATTTCCAGGGCAAAAGGTAAACGTGCAAAATTTGTCGAATCAACTTCAAGTATAGCAATGTCTTCGGACTTGCTGTTGAATGGTATATCAATCTTCAAAGGATATTTCTTATCCTTTAAAACTACATACACGTGACTTAAAGGCGAGTATATACTGTAGTTCATAGGTTGAATACCGAGGAGCAGAAAAGAATATTTTGAAAGAATTTAAGCATTTTCACTACATAATTAATAGAGCCCCACCCAAACTCCAGAATCCCATCACCCACGGGCCATGAAATTTACAATTTTGGAAGAGAGAGTGGTAAGTTTATTAAAGATCCAGGAGCAGAGAAGAAGATTTCTAAAGATAGAATGTAAATTCACTATATATAATTAATGGAACCTCACCCTAACACCACAACCCCTTAACCACGGGCCATAAAAATCACCCTTTTGGAAGATGCGCTATTGTTCATCATAACTATATACTTAAATAGTTTGTTAAATACCTAGGAGTAAATTAAAGAAGATTTCTTAAAAATTAAAGTACATGTATTTTCACTATATAATCAAAAAAGCCCACTTCATTACACCAAAACCCCAGATCCAGGGCCATGAATTTCACAATTCTGGAAGAGGCACTCTTGGTCTTCATAACTATGTAATTAGTTATTTTGTTTAATACCAAGGAGAAAAGGAGAAATTTTTCAAAGAATTTATGTATTTTCACTATATAACCAATAGAGCCCCGCCCAAACACTAGAACCCCTGACCCAGAAGCCATAAAATTCACAATTTGCGAAGAGGCACTCTTGGTCATCATAACTATTTATTTAGGTTTTTTTAACCTAGGAGCAGAGAAGATTTTCAAAGAAATAATGCATTTTTACTATATGATTTATATAGCCACACCCTAACACAAGATTCCCTGAACCTTAGGCCATGAATTTCACAATTTTAGTGGAGAGTTAACTGTTTATTGCAGTCAAGCCAACAGTTTGACTGATTGACGTCCAAAAGTATAAAAAAAAGATTTTTATAGACTGCATAATTTTGGTGGTTTTAGTCCCACCACTAGGTCACCAAGGGGGAGGGGGGCAGGGACCATGAAATTCACAAATTATATCCCCACCCATCCAAAAATTTTGGATACCAAAATCGGCTGAAATTGGTTCAGTTGTTCTAGAGAAGAAGCTAAAGTGTTCAAAAGTTTACGACCGTCGAACGACGTACGACGGCGAACGAAAACAGAGAGCAATCGGTCACCTGAGTTTATTCAGGTGTCTTAAAAAGAAAACCGATATCTACAAAATTTCTCATGAAAATATGGTTATTTTAAAAAAAAATACACAATTGAACTAAATTCCCGCATACATATATATTCATGGGCATACGCCACAACTTAATGTATGAATAATAGTGGTAGTTCCAACGTTTATCCATCAAGACATTGAAAAAACAAAACGTAAAGGGAAGGTAATATAAGTATTACTGACAATCTGATTTTAAAATATCAGATCCTTTGATCCGCTCACATAGATCGCTACACAGGGATCCGAAGAAAACCCGTTCAGGGTCATCTCCTGGTGACCTTATCCGATCAAATGTTCACTTTGAAGAATTGGAAAGTATCTCGGAATTCAGTTACAGAGGGAAAAGGCCCGATGATACACAAATGGAAAAATCGTGACCTAGTTTCTGTAGCCTGTCAAGAGAAGGACCACAGTCTATTCTGTACAGTTATATAATAAGTATCTTGCTTTTGTTTTGTTTTATAGCTCTTTGTTTTGTACGAAACGATAAGATCTTCTCCACAGCTACTTTCACTTCTATATTCGTTTTCCCGAATGTCGCTTAAGTACGATCTCCCTGATTGGTCAAAATTTTCATGAATATTTTTATTCAAAAGGTCACCAGGAGATGACCCTGACTAGGGTTCCTTTAGATGCTCGTGTAGCGATCTATGTTAGCGGATCAAAGGGTCTGATTTTAATCAGATTGGTATTACTGATTACTGATGATTCTGGTTACACACACAAGTGCTCTGAAATTGACATCAAAGAGATGCTTGAGTTTCTGATTGACAATATCTATAAAGTTTTTGGAGACCAGGTATTCCAGCAACTTATGGGAATTCCCATGGGTAACAAATGCGCTCCGTTATAAAGAGACTTATTTTTATATTCATATGAAGCAGAATTCTTGCAAAATCTTATGAGTGAAAAAAAGAAAACATTCGCTGTGGCTTTCTACTCGACATTTAAATATATCGACGACATATTGTCAATTAACAATGGTAATTTCCATTCCTACGTCGGATCGATATATCCTGGTGAGCTTGAGATAAAAGATAGCAAAGAGTCTGACACATCTGTTTCATACTTGGATATTTTATTTTAAAAAGACGTTAATGGTAATCTAACAACCAAGCTATATGATAAAGGTGATGACTTTAACTTATCTATCGTCAACTTCCCTTACTTATGCAGCAATATATCTTAATCGCCTGCATACGGAGTCTATATATCTCAGTTGATTCGATACGCAAGAGCATGCTCTACGTATGAACAATTTCTAACGAGGTAAATTATTGACAAGCAAGTTGATGAAACAAGAATATCAGCAGTCTCGTTTAAAGTCATCATTTCGTAAGTGCTATGGTTGATACAATGACCTCGTCAGCAAATGCAGTTTTTCATTGAGTCAAATGCTGACTGACGTTTTTCATACTAATTGTTAGTCCATTATTTAAACACTGAATTGACGACGGATTTTTTCGTTATTTCCCGATCATGACAAGGAGCACACGTCGGGTGTGACCTTTCGTCAGGTGATGCTCGCTCCTCCATGGCACTTGATTCCATTTCTGGTGTTTCGGAAAACCGTGTTTGCTCTGCTCCTATTTTGTATTGTTTTAAGGACTTTGATATTGAATACTGTTCGTTATCTTCATATCCTTCTTGCATTACAACACTTGGTGTTATTTCAATAGTGATCAAATACATAAAACCGGCATTGAAATAATGTCTGCTAATGAACATAATTTTAATAGTAGTTGCGACCTGGTTAAGGATTTGAAATGCATTCAAAACCTCTATTGAAACATTGTTTCAATGGTAAACGTTATTCCAACAGTGGTTACAGCCTGGGTTGGTTTTGAAATGTAACTCTCAACCACTATCGAAATAGTGGTCGTTATTTCAAAAGTGTTTGCAACAAGGCTTTCTATTTTCAGAAGCAGTAATTGTGAACTTCAGTAAATAAAAAGTCTATAAAATGAATAGTAGGTAATTCATTAAAAATGCACGTATCATTAGAAAGTACGCGTATGGCGCATTGACAATAAATAAAATTTTATTGTAAAATTATATTATATTGTGTATATTATCAATCCATATTAGATAAGTGTATCATAAAAAAATTCTCAATAATTTCTGGGAACATTTTTATAAATACGAGTATATATTCTCCATATTTACCTCCTTCCCACTTTATATCTGTAACAGAAATTTTTCGACTAAATCCACACTCAGAACAGCTGATACCGTCCTCTTCAGTATCTTCCAAATCGGACCCTGCTATAAAATGGGAGAGAGAGATGTTTGATTTTCCAAAAACGTTTTTCTCGCACATGTATCCTACCTCGTATGCGCAATGCACTAATTTCTCTGTCAGTTCATCAATTAACTTTCTAATTTTTTCACGAATGCCTAAATAATCAGCACTTTTAGACTCTGGAAGATCAAGGTATTGGATAAGTATCTTATCGTTACTGTGCATGCCTATTAAGACTTTGCTTTTTTTAATATCGAAAACTGTCGCTGTTTGGTAGACACAAAGAAATTTCAATTTAACGATTTTCCATTTTAACTTGTTGCTACAAGCAGCAATTAACCGATGGAATAGGTCTTTTGGGAGAAAATTGAACTTGAAACAAAAAAGAGAGGAATTCCGAAGTTTTTCAAACTCTGCTGTAGGGAATGTTTGTTTGTTCATACACGGACAATACCACATATCTGACATCGTTGTACCTATAGATGGTGTTACCTCTGTCAAAACATTCAGTTTTATCATCATAGCAATAATTTCAGTTTTCTTTGCATTGTACAGATCGTTTTGTTCACATTTGTTCCAGATTGAAGACAATAGGGAACCAGTCAAAAGTCCATTATTATTAAACATCTTCCATTTCTCGTACAGGTCCTGGGGTATATCCCGTTTTGCGTGATTTTCATCCGTGATAATATTTTTGAATGCGTCAACAAACCACTGTACATCTAGAATGATAAAATCTCTGAGATTCTCTTCGTCAAAAAATAAAACAACCCCAGTGTTATGCAGAAAGAGTAATGGAGTAATAAGATCATCTTTCCTCTCAACTTTAACACCACTTGTTCCACACCTTTGTAGCAATTGATCGGTTTTGATTATCTTCCAACTCGAAATCTTTCTTAATAAAGTTTCTATGTAAAACCATGACAAAGGAATCCTTTTCCCCCAATTTGGAAGCGTCTTAACAACTTTTATAATACCGTTCTTAATTTCGTCGAGGTTTGAATTTTGTCCCCAATAACCAGTGCAAAATGCATTGGTATAATCAATGTGGACACTCATTGTTGGAAACTTGTCCCGGAGATCCCGAAAATAGTCTTCAACATCCTAGAATATACGGAACTACATTAACTAAATTGATAATACATTTATTATCATTTACAAATTCCCTAGAATATTTAAGTAATAGTATAGTTTTTATATAAATTGATAATAAGATAAAATATTTACATTCGCTATGTTTTTCTACTAAACCAATTGTGATATTGATTTGAAAACCATTTTCGTGTATACTCACGCGTACAAATATACACGGTGAAACGTGTGTTAACGTGACGTCACAATGAGACTGCAGCGACGATAGTAAAAATGCAACAATGTTGGGCCAAGGAGACATTCAAATATTGAGTATATTTTAGTAGTTTCCAAACATGTAAAATGTAAATATAAGGAATGTTTTTCAGTTTAATGTGAATTATTGGTGTGAGAATCACGCAGACTTGCACGTAAGCATATATGCACATATGCCTACGTGACAAGTCTCTGTGATTCACACACCAATAACTCACACAAAACTTGAAAACATTCTTTAAGTATTTGCATTTGCAAGACGTTTACTAGTCAACAGTCATCTGCGTGAAAGTACTCTTAATACTTGTTTATAGAATTTTCAATGCTTTTTTTTCCTTAAGTGATATTGATTTAAGGTATTCAATCCCTAATAGCAACAGATTCAATGAAATTGAATACATAACAGATGTATAGGTGTTCAATACTAGTACTCAGTATATTTATACATAAATCTCATTTATTACTATTAACATTAAGGGCGGGATGTGTCCTAATTTATGACCTTGAATTTTGATAAGAGTAATCTCCCTTTATTTTTAATTGATAAAACAAAACAATTTCAAAACGTGTATGAGCAAAAAATTATTTAAAATTGTCATTCTATTTCTAATGTTTCAATGCATCTTTCCACCACAGTATTAAATGATATTCTTATTATTTGAATTTCTATTTTCAAAAAATGCTTTTCCCCATAGACTTCAATACAATCTTTGAAAATTTCTCGCGGACAATCTTTTTCTACCATAAAATGCTTTCATTTATTATCAAAGTATTATGTACTTGATGGACATTTAAGGGTAGAAAATTTGATCCACTTAGGGATGGAAATCCTTAGTGCTCATCTCATTTTAGTTTTAAAAAAAAATAAATAAACTTGGTTAACCTTTTTTGTTTTTTCTTCCGCATGAGTGGCTATAAGAATAAGAGGTGCCTGTTCAGAAGGTTTGTTGTCATTTTTCATCGCTGCTGGCGTTATCCCAACAGAATTTGTCAAAATGGATTGAAGCCAATATTCTGTATATTCTTAAGAAAATAAATTATAAATGATAATTTTTTTAAACAAACATTAATGATGACGTAATAACAAACCGCAAAAACATAATCTCTCGTGACCTATTTTATAAGAATAGTGAACAAATTGAGACGTAAAAATGCATTGAATAGCTAGGTTATTAATTTTTTCCATGTTGTTTTTTACTATTTTTACAAGAACAATTTTATGAACTTCAAATTCACGAGATGTTTGCCTGCTCAATTTAAAAAAAGAAGAAAAAAATGACGAGAAAACGCATAAGAGGAGCCTGAAAAAAAAAACGGGGAAAAAAATTAATTACCTAGATAAGTCCAACTGTCATAGATAGATCTTTCAATCTTACACCGACCATCACTTATGTTGTCATGTGGATCTCCTTGATTGTGTATTTGTGTTGTTTTGTCTAAAGTTACTCGATCATTCAGTCTCTTTGTAATGTCCATTACTAAAATGTAGAAATCATTAGGAGAAAAATAAAGGTGATGACAGGCATAGTATGCAAACTGTCCAGCAAAGTCAAAGATTGTAACTATTTTCCCCCGATCTGCAAAAGACTCTGACAATATTTCCTCCATGGAAATTTTATGGGGGATATCAGTATCATCGGATGTAGGGATACTGAAATCCAAAGAAAGTATATTTTCAGTCACAATCTCGTCTTCTTCACTATAATTCGTGTTATCGTTTACACTAGAATCCCCATTTTCCTTGTTTTCTCTTTGATATCTTTGATGTATTGTCGTTGTAACTCGTTTGCTATTTATTTCGTACGACGTTTGGGGTTTTTTTGTCGAAATTTTTTCGTCCTCGATTTTTTCGTCCTTGAAATCAAAACTTCCAGATAGCTGGTTTGCAGAAGCATTCGTGGTTTGATTTTGAACATCAGTTCGATCATTTTGATTTAAAGTTGAGCGGAGACATGCTTTATTTGGATTGGTTGTAACTGAAATAAAAATGAAGAAAATGTTTCTGAAATAGATATTTTCTAATCAGTATCATCAAACCTGTGTTTGAAAACACAAGAACAAATGTTTATAAATTCGTACTGCAATTCAGTAAAATAAGTTGACCAATTTTTTTTTTTATATTTTTGAAACTGTTAATTTACTTTTTGTTATTTATCATACAATGTACATATATCCCATAATTTATGACACAATTACTGTGTTGAAAGGAAGCATTGTCGTTACTGAGTTTATATTAGTTAGAAAAAATGAAAATTTGCAAAGTTACCCTCAAGTTTTCCCCCATCCACTGTGAATACATTAACATTGACGTCTATTCCTCTAGTTGATGTAGGATTTGGGTTATCGTCCCCTCTAAGTCTGCGCAGAAGGCTTGTTTTTCCTGCTCCCTCACATCCAACTAACATTCCCCTTGCAACAAAGACTACATGATCGCCGTGGGTGAGTTCTTCTAGATATTTGGATATCCCCTCACTCCCTAAACTAAGAATTCCCTTTGGAATATTCACTGTAAACAATAAACATAGTTTTGTATTAGTCTCCACTTGTTTTTCTCGATCTGCTTTTAACTTTACCATTAAATTAAGAAATTTTGTGAATCTTTCAAAATTATACTTTGATTTGTATCTTTATCCAACGACAATGTTGTGTAAAGTATGTAATGTATGGAAATATTGGGCGACTAGGAGAGAAATTATTATAAAGAAAGATAAACATGTTCTCATCCTGTTGTCTGGCATAAAAACATTCAACGACACTGAACATCTTTAACACAAGATTATTTTATTTTTTGAATTGTCCCTCTCGAGAATATTTTATCGATATGGAGACGCCACCACTTCCCGGTGGAGAGCTGCAAATTTTGTCCTATTCTCGGCACTTTCGGCCATTAAACTTTGGGTTTCTTTTTCGTGCCAATAACTTCTGGGACAGGGATCTCGGTTTATACAGACTCATCCGAAAAACCGGTCTCGGTCTCTACGTCCCAATGTGAGATTCGAAGCCGCAACATAAGGATTGACTCTAAAGCAGACGCTCTAACCACAGCCCAATGCAGGCAACTATGTAAAGTGTGAGCAATAGGGCCAAGGGAAGATTAAACATGGATATGAAAAGCATTTATAGAGATGAACAATATTTTGTTTTCATTTACATTTGAACCAAGAAAATTCATTTCATTTGTGCTTAATTCTTAAACGATTATTTGAAAAATAATAATAATTTAGAGGTACTTTTCCCACGTAGTATTAATTTACGCTATGTACGCGGTCATAAGTTTTCCCAATCTCCAATGCAGAACTGTCGCTCGTTCCTCTCTCAGACACCTCTGCAATGGGGCTCACGTCATATTTTTGACATAACGTACAAATTGTGATATATGCAGGATTGTTTCAAATTAAAATAATAGTTCTGGATTAATCTAGAAAACATCTATCTCAAAAGTCAGACATCAACATAGAAATTAAATCATATTGAATTAAACAAACGCACTATTTCTTGTGTTTATCACTGTGATATGTATACACGAGCCATCGACAGAGGTAAATGTATGAGCCGATAGTAGAGAGTGAAATTTTCCGCAAAAATTTGTTCAAGCGTTCTTAATATAAAAGTAAGGCATGTAGTGACGGTCTTAGAAATCCGCGTTATTTTCTACCCGCGGATTAAACAGAAATTGAGATTCCGCGGAATTATGACCCCGTGGAAAAAAGTACGTCCATTATATTATTTTATATAGTATTCGTACATGTATGTATAACTTCCAGCATGCAACTTACGAGCTTCTTCGATGATTGGATGACATGCTTTGTCCTTGATTGAATTATTAGTCAGGATGTCGAAATTGAGCCGCTGTACGACGACCTTGAACTGCTCGGGAGTGACATTGCAGCAAGTTTCACATGGATCCTTTTTGTACCCAGCTGATCGACAGTAGATACTTATGTTTCGTGAACAAGCGTGCTGAAGGAAGAAGTCTACAAAACCACTCTTTCGTAGAAATGACTGAAATACTACATCGGGTGATAGCAATTTGTACTCATTATTTTCACAATTAATGTGATCTTCAAATTTTCCATCTGATATAACGGTTAGGACACGCTTTGTGATATTTTTGTCGTCATCCCCACAGCAAAATTTCCAGGATATTTTAAGCTTTTCTTCCCAGTCATCTGGTTTATTTTTACTGGGTTGACATTTATCTAGGAGCAAACAGCAGAGAAGGAAACTTTGACATTCCCTAGAACGGCACTGTATGTCATCTACAAAATAATGCACTATTTTATTTCCAGTGTCTGAAACAGAAATCAACGATAGAAAAAGGTTTATTAGCCATGCTTTATATCAGAATGTTTTCTTTCTTATTGACTTACTAAAGCTAATCAAAAATTATCCAACCCCAATATATTGTTTAATTCAATATTTTTTATTGCATGTGTCAGATCCGAAAGAGTGACATCACATGTTCGTTACGCATTTCGTTCGTTCCGTTCCGTTTTGTGAACACGTATTTAGTTCAATTTTTTGATTCATTATTAACTAGTTTCGATTCATTTTTAGCATATGTCAGTTTATGCATCATCTTACCTTCGCAAATGAGTTAATGAAAGGTATATGCGTCGTTTCCTTGAAGTAATTAAGATGCAAAAGTGCTTTATCGTTTATGTCTAATATTAAAGGTGAAAACGCACATATTAAAAAAATACTTGGCAACCATGACATCTGATAGCAAGTCCATTAAGACCCCATAGTTCTTTGTTAGACAACATTAAAACATCAACTTAATAGTCTCGGCATATATGAGGGTATATAGTAATTTATTTCAGAAGAAAACATATCATTAGATTGCTAAAATGCATCGAATGATTCAAATAACACTCTTTTATAAAAAGATGAAAAAATATTTGGCATCTTTCGCAAACTGGTCCCTCTGTTTTAAAAAGTAAATTTGTATCCATTTTCAATCAGGTATTAACACTATAATAAAAATTGAAAAGGTAGAGTTCTAAAGTGCGTTTGAGTGCAAGTTATACATGTATATCCTAATATAAAACATGTGCTCCTTGATCATAATTATAATGATAACGCAATCTTCTTAGCCTGTAAAGGGGATGAACACATGGTGACAGTCAATAACGCAGCACAGTTAAGGTAACAATAAGGGGGCGGAGCATAATTTGTACAGGAATACAGTACTATAACGTAATACAAGCTATATGAACGCCGAATTTTGTGTGAAACAAAATGATTAATGATTTGAAACACATGAAGTGTAATGTAAAATAATAATTTACACAAAGTTTTACTACAGACGTCGTTGTAATAACGAAACAATTAAGCAAGATCTGACAATTAAGAATTCAGTCTTTTCATGAATATTGATGAAGGAAAGGAGAAAACAGTAGGCCTATATGTAGACACGCATGTCCACGGAAAATCACAGAAAACGAGGTATGTTGCATTTTGACAACAATTATTAATAAATGGTTAATATGCATCATAAAAGAGAAGATGGTTGACACTATAACATTAAAAGATATATAAATACCATTAAAAGTAACACACTTGTCATCCACGTCAAAAGTGAGTAGTATCTCAAACGGCCTACCTCGCTTTGTTCACGACATATTTGTTTGTCAATATAAAAGTAGCGACGGCGACACGTGATGGATTTATTTAACCAGAAGTCTCTGTCGAGACTGAAGCTCTACTGGTTTGTACTTATAGCAAAAGAAGAGAAAAGTACTTAAGCAGTTGGGAATTGAAACTTTACAACAGCAATAAATAGAATAATGATCCTTGATAAAGTCTCTTTATGTTCTTAGTGTAGTCTTCTTGCATGCCACATTATATTATAATCAGACAAAAACTGTATTTGGAATAGTATTTGTGGAAAAATTTCACAGAAATTTCTATTTTTAGTTACCAAGGCAATAATGTTTATCGAAGTCAAAATCCGATATACAGAATTATATATCTTAGTATAGTCTACTTGTGTGCTAAGTTACACTGAAATCAGACCAAAACTGTAGGAGGAGTAGCATTTTGAAAGAATTTCACAGAAATACCATTAATCAAAATCAAAGACCGATAAACAGAATTATGTATCTTAGTGTAGTCTACTTGTGTGCCAAGTAATACTGAAATCAGACCAAAACTGTAAGAGGAGTAGCATTTTGAAAGAATTTCACATATTTTATTTTAGTAACCACGGCAACACTGTTCATAAAAATCAAAAACCGATACACAGAATTATGTATCTTAGTATAGTCTTAGTATAGTCTACTTGTGTGCCAAGTAATATTGAAATCAGACCAAAACTGTAGGAGGAGTAGCATTTTGAAAGAATTTCACAGAAATTTCTTTTTTAGTAACTACGGCAACACCGTTCATCGAAATAAAAAACCAATACACAGAATTTAATATGCATCTTAGTGTAGTCTACTTGTGTGCCAAGTAATATTGAAATCAGACCAAAACTGTAGTAGGAGTAGCATTTTGAAAGAATTTCAAAGAAATTTCTATTTTTAGTAACACGACAACACCGTTCATCGAAATCAAAAACCGATACATATCTTATCTATCTTAGTATAATCTTCTTGTGTGCTACACTGTACGTTATATTGAAATCAGACCAAAACTGTAGGAGGAGTAGCATTTTGAAAAATGGCAGACGGACATACAGACGGACGGACGCCCGACGCATTGCTATCGCATAAGCTCTTCTAGTCTCTGACCAGTAGAGTAAAAATAGCCATTTCTCTCCTAGCAGGGTTATAAATAATTATAATTTGATAACTTTATAATGTGTTTAATTTTAATGGTTTAATTTACAGTATTTTCGTAACTTTCATTGATAAACAAAATTTATAAATTTCAAATCTTCTTTAAACTGGCGCAAGTTATAGCATGTATACTTTTAACTTTGACATCATACAAAACTAAGAATTCTTAAAATACCACACAATGGGCGTTTTTTTCTATTTCATCCCGTATGAAACCACTAAACTTCATCAAACTTACTACAACAAGCTGTTTTGTCGTTAGTTAAATCCCACATAAAAAGTTTTAAACAAGTCACTGATCGAAAATCACTTGTCGATGTGATGTCATTTTGTAAAATGTGACGCAGTTTGTATGAGGCAAAATCAAGTAATATTTAATTCTCAACAAAAAACGTATGCTATGTTTAAATAAAATGTTATTTACAGATATTCTATTGGCCATTAACTTGGATTCAATGTATTCTTCACCCATTTATGAATATATTTTCTGTATATTTTGTATTTAATCGATACTGTCTTTTGCAATTGTATCAAAGGGTGATGTGGGGGCCTTAATAAATCGATCCAGTGCAAGGGCTTACACTTAATGGATCATAGTAAGCTCTAAAAAATCAACTCAAGAAGTATTAAAGTATCTGAAAAATGCTGCGATCGTGAGGAAATCTTGAAAATAATTTCATTATATCAATATTCCCTGCCGTTGACCAGCAAAACATACAGCATTTGGTCATACAAATATGATTTTAACAATAAAACTTGGTTATGCCTTGCACTAGTAAAAAAAAAAATAAAGGTAACTTCAATACTGCAGCTAAATGTTCTAACGGCACGTGATTTTCGCAGGACGTGACAAGTCTAAATATAAAATTTGATAATCCTGAATACTGTATACAGGGCTATTTTCGCCCCGTGTAATTTTCGCCCTTTTGCACTTGCGAACAGTTTTGCCCCGTTTTTAATTCGCCCAATCATAGTTCCGTTTAAGAAATTATGCTGTGTAATTTCAATTCGCTCCGTCTTAAATTCGCCCATTCAAGAAGAGGGTGAAAAGGGCGAAAATAAAACGGGGGCGAAAATTTCCCTGTATACAGTATGTAGCTAAAAACCACAATTACAGTTATTCTATATAAATAATGTACTAAAAATAATACTGTAAGTTCCTAAAGATACGCGTGGAATTAATTATCGCGTAATTTCACGAGAAGCACCACACGCGAAATTACATTACTCGCCATTATTTCTTTGGTGCTGAAATCTATGTTAAAACTCTTGATCAACCATCTATTCGCGAATTCTTATTCTCGTGATTTGCTGTTGAGAAGCACATTAGCAATAAAAAGTACTCGCGAAAAATAAGGAATCTATATTAGCCATACCAATTATGAATACATTTTTATTACATAAAATTGTCAGTATTTCAGTTGCGCACTTTAGCTGTACTGTGTAACTCATTTAACATGTAACAACGTCATGGTTCATTAACATATACGAGGGCTATTCAAAAATTACGCGGACTGTGCTATTATTTATTCTTACAGACGTGTTGATATCGCTGATGGAGAGGTACGGAGCATGACAAAAAAAATTTAAGCAAAAGCATGCGGAATCCAAAATTTAACTCATTTTCTATAATTCGCGATATTTTTCGACAATTTTCTCAAATGTATCTTTAAAATGTTTTATTATTATGCATTTAGATTTCTGATGTGATATTTGAAGTACTAACAGAAATATCGTGATTTTTCTCTGATGCGATTCCCGTGATAACGACTGTGAATATGACATGTCCTGAATTGAGGGCGCACCATACTTTTGTTAAATTATGTGTAATGCTCGAGATATCGCCAACATATGGATCCAAAATATGCATAATCAAACATGTAGTAGACTAGGGTATTCGTGACATTCGTCCACAAAAAGCAAATTGAAATTTTAGACCGTTAGACCTCTGTAAAAAGGCTATACGAGAGGACGGGAAGAAAATTATCGACAAAAACTTTATCCGGACTGTAAAGAACGTGAATGAGAGTCACCAATATAACACTATATCTCATAAATACCTGCAGTTTTTGGTTTTAAAACAAAAAAGAATATTCTTTACTTGTTTAATAGATTTTAAGCTTGGTGTTTAGCTGTTGAGTAGATAGGGTAACTCAAACTGTACAGTTACTCAGTCTCTTGGGAAAATGTTGAAAAAATGAAAGCTCAATAACGTATTTTTATATAATGCTGTGACGTCAAAGATTTTGCTGCTCTGTGACTTAATGATATGTCTTGTAAAATCGCTCAACATTGATACCAATTTACAACATTTTGATATGAAATTTCAAAGACTATATATTAAGTAAAGATTTTTTTTATATTATGTGTGACAATTCGCCCGATTATGTCGTCAAATATTTTTTCTTTGCAACAAGTCCTCGTAATTTTTGAACGGCCCTCGTAATTAAATTTTGGTTGCAACACGTCGTTTGATTGGATGTAAAATTCATTTTCATCGTGAAACATGTGTTGCCTACGTCACAATAACTCACGTCAAATATATAGCAATCCCCTTGACTTTACACTTAAAATCTGCTAAATTTAAGGAATTTTGGAAGATAATTTAAATGCTCCATAATGGAAAATTCCATGGAAATAATAATGCAAGAATTTAATATCTACCCAAATTATACTAATATAACCTGTGTAGAACAGTTCTTTGAAAGTAACTGTCTTTTTTTATAATTAATTTTACTTTTACATCTTATATACAGTAAATATTTTTAATATCTTTTGTAGGCATATTAAATTTAGCTATCGTGTGACGTCACAGATGGTTTTCCCCGTATTAGAGAAATGTAAACAACACTAATTTTTTCCATGTTTATCTTTAGTTTTACTGGATTACTGTGCAATATTGATGTAAGCTTCACCAATCAAATTTTTAAAAGTTGATCAACAAAATGAAGTACTTCAGTCTCAATTTATATTTTCATAAAATAAATGAAAGATTTTTTTCCTGATATTCAGAGTTTTGTTCTTTAAGTCACCTGCAAAATACGATCCTATCCAGATGCAAAGTGATTCATTTTTTTTTTATTTAAAAATACTCATTTTCTGAAATATTTAATAAAGAGATGCATGTCCACTAGAACAAGCACATTTTATCTATGATAAAAAAAATCAAATTTAATCCATTTACCTAATGTGAAGTGAATTGTCATTTCCCCAAATACATTTCGAACTGTGCATTCGTATGTACCGAAACAGTCGTTTTTAATATGGTTAATTCTTAGGCAGAAGTCATCTAGTGTTCCCCCAGAATAATTTTCGGATTCGTCGGACAATATCAAATCACAGCCATTTCTTTTCCAAGATATAGATGTCATTGGTTTACAGTCTTCAGACACAGATACGGCGTACTCAACTTCAACATCTTCCCCATCAGCTTTGATTTCTCCAAGAGTGATGCTTGGACATTCTGAAATTTAAACAATTGCTTTGAAATGATCAGTTTATAAATGAGTGCATTGTTAATGACTTAAATTTCTCTTCAGATGCAGATTTTGTTTTATCTTTTGAGGTACCCAAAACACCGGGTTTCATTTTTCACGAAGTCATGCCTGCTTCTAAATTGTTTAAAAATATATAAAATGCTGTCATATGCAATGATATTCACCTCTCGTTGGAGCTAAAAGTGAAGCATGCTTTACTCAGCTATTGTAGAATATGAAATTCTACACTTGTAAATTTCAAACATTTACTATACAGTAAAATACGAATATTAGGATTTCACGGGTATTACAAAGTTATCTTGGATCCCCAGATAAATAAATTTTCAGAATTTCTTATACAGATATAACTATTTATATTTATGGAAATAGCGAAGTAATTCATATGTCAGAAGACTTCATTATAACCTCTTTTTTTCTGAAGTACTATTGTATCTCATCAGGTATACTGAAATTCCAATTTTTTAGCTTTGGGTTGTCAAAGTTTCAGTTTTCAATGAAACAAATTGAAATTTCCATAGCTGCAATGTAAAGAAAAAAAATGGATTTTTATTCACAGACTAATGCATAGTTTCATTGCATATGCATTTACTTTTATACCCCAAATTTATATTGTTATAGTTTCCTTTACTGTTGCACACTTAATTGAATTTAGTTTAGCATTCAAATACATATGTACTACAGTTAACCTTGGTAAAGCAAAAATATTGTTCACAAAAGCAAAACTCAAGCATCAGTTAAGAGATGTAAGTCAAAGTCTAAAAATCTTTTACTACAGGGAATACATGTATAAACTCCATGGAATTAATTCTATAAATATAGAAATGGATTTTTATTCACAGACTAATGCATAGTTTCATTGCATATGTATTTACTTACATGTATTGAAAATCTTTTACTACAGGGAATACATGTATAAACTCCATGGAATTAATTCTATAAATATAGAAATACAAACGTGTTACCTAATGTAAAATGAATTGTCATTTCCCCAAATACATTTCGAACTGTGCATTCGTATGTACCGAAACAGTCGTTTTTAATATGGCTAATTCTTAGGAAGAAATCATCTGGTGTTCCCCCAGAATAATTTTCGGATTCGTCAGACAATATCAAATCACAGCCATTTCTTTTCCAAGATATTGAAGTCATTGGTTTACAGTCTTCAGACACAGATACGGTGTACTCAATTATGACGTCCTCTCCATCAGTTTTGATTTCTCCAAGAGTGAAGCTTGGACATTCTGAAATTTGAACAGTTGTTTTTGAAATGATCAGCTTATAAATGAGTGCATTGTTTATGATTGATAATTTTATTAGAGACAGATTTTATTCTGTCTTTTGAGGTACCCTGACCATTGGGTTTCATTTTCTCGAAGTCATGCATGCTTCTATATTATTTACAAATATATCACATACTTTCATGGGCAATGATATTCTCCTCCTATTGGAGCAAAATGTGAGGAAAGCTTTACTTGGCTATTGTAGACTATGGAATACTACACTTGATAAAACAAGGTAAATTTCAAATATTTACTATGCAGTATAACTCGTCCAGTACGAAGACGGATATTGCGATTTCAAGAATAATGCATAGTTATCTTGGATCCCCAGCTCTATGAATTTAAAGAATTCCTTATACGGATATAAAGAATAATGGATTTTATCGAAGTAATTTCAGAAGTCTAGCAGGTGACTTCATTATGACCGAGTTTTACTGTAATACAATTCATTCCATTCAAGTAAATTAAAGTTTTAATTTTTAAATTATGGTTTGTCAAAATTTCACTTTTCAATGAAATAAATTTAAATTTCTGTAGCTGCCATGCAGTGAGAAAAATTATTTTTTTTCATAGACTTATTCAAAGTTTGATTGCACATCTATTTCTTTTTATAGTCAAAGTATATATTTTCATAGTTTCCTTTACTATTGCACACTTGAATGAACATAGTTTAGCATTTGAAAACCTATGTTCTACAGTTACTTATGGAAAAGCAAAAATAATTTTCACAAAAGCTGAACTCAAGTATCAATTAACCAAAGTATTTCAAAGTCTTGAAGTTGTACTACAGGGAATACAAAAATGAACTCCATGGAATTAATTCTATTATAGAAACACAAAAGTTTTACCTAATGTGATGTGAATTGTCATTTCCCCAAATACATTTCGAGCTGTGCATTCGTATGTACCGAAACAGTTGTCTTTAACATGGCTAATTCTTAGGCAGAAATCATCTAGTGTTCCCCCAGAATAATTTTCGGATTCGTCGGACAATATCAAATCACAGCCATTTCTTTTCCAAGATATTGAAGTCATCGGTTTACTGTCTTCAGACACAGATACGGTGAAATGATGAGCTTATAAATGAGTGCATTGTTTGTGATTGATAATTTTATGAGATACAGATTTTATTCTATTTTTTGAGATACCCTGACCATTGCGTTTATTCTACTCGAAGTCATGCATGCTTCTAAATTGGAAAAAATATATATGATATACTAGTACATGCATGTTGTCGTGGATAATGGCATTCTCCTTAGAGCAAAATATGCTTAGAGAAGACTAAAATACTATTCTTAATAAAAAGACGTAAATTTCAATTTTTTACTTAAGTACCATTGTATTTCTAAAAGTAAATCAATGTTTCAGTTTTTGAACTATTCTTAGTCAAATTTCCAGTTTTCAATCACATGAATTGAAACTTCCATGCTTTGCAATGAAGTAAAAAAAATGGATTTTTTTTCAAATATTAATTCAAAGATGCATGTTTTTTTCTCTTAAACTCAAAATGTATATTTTCATAATTCCTTTACTATATATCACAATCTTAAATAAGTTTAGTGTAGCATTTAGAAAATGTTTACTATAGTTAACTTTATGATAAAGCTATGATAAAGCAAAAATTCAATGTGTTCACAAAGACAGAACAAAAGTATCAATTAATGAAACTGAATCAAAGTCTCGAGCTTTTACTACATGAAATGATGAAAGGTGTTATAATACGAGTACATGTATCAAATGTATCAACACATACTAAAGCGACCAAACGATGGCCTATATGTTCTGCAGACCGATCGACAAATGATGCTTATTGCTCTATGGCTCCTGACTAATCCTCATATTTAAGACATCTGTATTGGCCATGCTTATGAGACTATGGTAACTGTATATTTCAAGGAGGATAAAATGCATATCTGTTAATAGTGCTGATATAAAAATACAGGTTAACCTTTTCTATGGTGAGGTGTTACCTAAGTTTGATTTAGGAACAGCAACTTTATATACAACACAGTTGTAATTTTTTTTTCTTCAAATAAATTGTATACTGACGTGACAAACTGGCTCCGTATCTAGCCTTTTCAATCCTAAATGTTCTAGAGCTACTTAATCTTATACATTATTTGACGAATCCTACTATGATGCAAGCATAAAATAGAAATACCTAGTTTGAATGTAACATTCTCATCCATCCCCATACAATTGCATGTGTATTTGATACAACAAACATATTCCCCGATATCAAGACGATCTGCATTTTCAATGACAAAGGTCTGTCTTTTCTCTGCAAAACTGTATTTTTCTGTTGCGTTTTTTAAGTTGATTATCTGACCATCTTTTGACCATGTAATAATCCGTGCTTGAATGATCCTGTGATTTATAGGAAGCAAACATCGCAACACAACATTTTCTCCAACTGCTTCTACCTTATGTACTGAACGAAAAGCAATTAAAATTAAAACGAAAGTGATATTATGAACTATATACAATGCAGTCAGGGCATATTTTTAATCAATAAAACAAAATTAATGTCTCTTTTTATTTTTATTCTACTTAACGTGTTTAATTTTTAAATAAGTTTTTTACCATCGTGAACGTATTGGAAAAATTATAAATTAACATCTAATAAAACGTATTTATAATAAATGGTAGCAGTGCTTTTGAATATTTGTAAAATACATTCATTCAGAAAAGTGAATTACATGTAACAAGTTATAGTTGCAATACAGAATGATATATCAAAGATTGTATAAATACCCGAAAGCAAAGGTAATTCTTCATCAGGACTACCCTCCTGCCTTTTACAAACTGTAATTTAAAGGAAAAAAATAATAAAAAGATTGAAGTCATAAAAAATACTTGAACCGATTTGTTGCACCCAAACAAAGGATGTTTTCTATCTACGAATCTTTCTTTCAATCATCCATATATCTAGTATCTTTAATATGCTATTATATACCTCTAAATTTCTTTATTACAAATGTTGCAGCCATAATGATGATGACAACAATTAAAGCACCAGAAATCATCACCCCAATGAATATTTTTGAAGAAGTAGATGGTGTAGTTGTCACTTTTCTAAAGAAACAGAAAAATAGACAAGATGTACGTACCCATTCATCTGATCATAAACATAAAATAATTTAATTAATTTGCATTTTTTACCCAAGGCTTGGGCATTTTGGGTCGGCCAAATAACATCCTTCCAACTTGTTTAGCTGTAGACATTGTTGATCTGGAAGAAATTAAAAGAACAGAAAGTATAATCCTATTTACAACCAAAGATATTTACTTCTTAAATTATAATTATACCTTTATATATATATATATTTTGTACGGAATCAGTATAACATAGAATAACGTATGCAAAGCTTCAATACTAACATACACAAAGTTTGAGTATAGGAATGCCCATTAAACCTGATTTTATGATATGAAATTCATCTTATTCATGAACAAAACAAAGTACCGTTTGCAAAATATGAAAGATCAATTTACATACAGTCACTTGATTCAAGATTAAAAAATTGCTTATTTTGGTCACATTATTGAACAAACATAATTTAGTATTCTGAACCACTAAAAATTCATACAAACATTTATATAGTTCATTGCTTCTGTAGGTAATATTTGGACACCCATCTTTGAATCCGGAACAGCTGTAGGTATCCGTGAAATAGGAATCCGATATGATCCAGCAATAACCTAAAATACAATCAATAAAATTTTCAAAATAAAATCTATAATATGTGATATGCATTTTTGCATTTTAATGAAAGGAGTATATATGATAAATGTCAATTTTGGCCCCCTAAAAATCAACATTTTAGAATGACATTCGGATATGTTTTATTTAAATTTATTTTGTAGAAGAGATTATATAAGAAATATTTCCAATATATTTTTCACATTTATATGCACTCACTAGCTGTAAATGACGTGATAAATAATGGTATTTTTGCTATCTAACAAAAAAGCCAAAAATATGCCTTTTTCTTGATGTTTTTTCTAATGGGAAACATAGAGCGCAGTGTAGAACATACATAATTTTTCTGTCACTAATTAGTATTGAATAGATAAATCTTTGGTAAAAATATAAATCTTGTTCTAGGCTGCGCTCTATATTTTCTGAAAAAAAAAACTGCTTGAAAATAAGCAGTTTTATACAAGATATGCTAAAATGGCGGGAAACGTGATTTTTATGATGTCATATTTCTAAAATAACGGCATTTTGATCAAAATGAAAATGACCAATAAATGTCGCATATATAGCTGTACAAATTAAAGCTATACACTGGACAAAATTGCTAACGCACCACCAAATGAAAGTAATATTTTACTTTTCGAAACTTGTTTAAGTGGTATTTGATATATTATTATGCTACAAAATCAAAAAATAAAGTATTTAAATGTCTTAATTTATAAATAACCACAATGTTCACTGATGTGTGACCATTTCATAGAAAACGTGGAAATCGTGTCTACACTAATTTGAAGGGATATATTTCTAATTTTTTCTTTGCATTTTTGTTCTTTATGTTTGTACTAATTAGAAAATCAGAAATACAATTATACCGTATGCGGCATTTGATCCCAGAAGAGCGTGATAAAACAGACAGTATGTTGCCTGCAGGGGGTTCCTTTGGAAAGATATGTAAAAAATTTAAACAATGAAAACAATATTTATTCTTCTGGTGAGAAATTGTTGAAAATAGATTAGTAGACATAAAAATGTTCACTCTAGATAGCCAAGCCATAAAGTAAACACCACACCATAATTTCAATGTCGTTCCACAAAATTGGTGCAACCGGAAGTTGAGTGGACTGGTCATGGAAACCTAGGCATTGGATGACTAGCAGGCGATATAATAGTCAAATGCTGCATATTATTTGAATTTTTTTAACTGGGAGACTGTTTCTGATGTAACCCCAAGGACCATCATCGGTAATTAGCAATACACATATCTGGGCAAAAAAGAGGTACGCGATGCATGTCGGGATATTGGTTTCGGGCAAGAAGGTCATTCTAAGGTTTTGTTCTGACACCAAGACATTTCCCAATCTCATTGTATTGGAAAATATGGCGTTTTATATATACTCATACCGATAAGGCAAATGTTCAATTCACAAAGAAGAATTTTAAGTGGTGCGTTAGCAATTTTGTCTAGTGTATATACAGTAAAATTAAGATATCCATTTTAAGGGGCCAATTGAGACACTTACCATATATCGCTCTTTAAAATATAAGACGTAAACGGGGCTTAAAAACGCTTGGAGCAGGTCCTGTAAAAGACCTTATCTAAAAAAAGGCTCTTTTTTACAAAATGTACCCAGGTAAAGATTCCCATATAGCAAGCAGATTAGAGTCTTCAAGGTTTTTCTTTTTTTTATTTAGAAAACGTTTAATTTTTTTTTTAAAAAAAGATGTAAACTGTGTGTACATCTTCAATCCACATTCTTTATCAAACAGAAAAAAATATAATATTGAAATTAATATGTTCAAATGATTAAGACGTAGTTAGTATTTTTTATCATTTTGATTCCATGCAATAGAATTCAAATGTTGGCACTTTTTAAATTTAAAATTCTCAGTTGAAATGGCAAAAGAACGTGTACTTCAATTAAGCCCTGCATAAAACTAAAGATGCAAATGAATATCAAATATATTAGTATCTAAATAAGAAACTAGCTTCAAGTTGTTGAGAATATAAATATAAGGGGTGTGAAAGGTTCCCAATGACCTGTTTCAGTTTTTATGCATGTGCCACATATTCTAGCGCTTCAATGAAGACACACAGGGAGGTTTGTATTTTTGCTTTGTAATATGTTACATGTGAACAATAGTGTACCTTTTGTGATTAACGTCACAAAAAGGTTGGTAAAAAGATATGTTGAAAAATTCTTATACAATGTATCAAGCTTTTATGACCAAGAAAAACATGAAAATTTCAAAATTAATCAAACTATGCAATTTTCAGGAGAAAAACAATGTAAATTCCATAATATTGACTACTTGAGCATCATACATTCACTGTTTTTT